GCAGGAATGTATCTTTGGAGCCGATTACTTTTTGTTCCGTGAGCCCTCCTGGTGCTCATTTGGATTGATCTAAATGCAAATTGAAAGATATCTTCTATTATAAGACATACCACTGATTTGCCAACAGCTTTCTTTGTTTATTTGGACTCGGGGAGAGCCTTATACTATAGGGTTGTGGCTGGGAAGAGGGGATTTAGTCAGCCACTGTTAGAGGGAAAAACACTACATTCGACATATGCAAAAACCAGTTTGTTTTCTTTTTGGCTAATTTGCTGTCATTTATCCACATAAAACCACCTCCTCTTTTTCTGTAGGGCTGTATTGTGGTGTGATCCACTAGGTCTCTCCATTCTGAAAGCTTCATCTCTACAGAAACGTTCTGTAATATGTGGAGATTGGCCATTTCCTTAAAAATCATGGATTTGTAGGGGGCCCTGGGCTAGGAGGGAGGAGGTGGGAGAAGGGGTTAGGGTGAAGGAAGGCATTGCCAGGTGACTAGCTTAATTGGATAGCCCGTATTAAGGCTTTATTTTCGAAAATAAGGAGAAGCCATTAAGAGTCTTGTTCCTGAGTGTCCTCATCACAGGCACGTGCCCTCACCACGGCAGGAACCACGAGGGCCTCATTGTCTTGTGTTTCTGTTGAGGCTGTGCCACACCCCTAGGAGCCTGGGAGCCAGCTGGGAAAAGGGGCAGGACCTGACCTCGCCCTCCAGTCTCCACTCCTACCCACATCCTCCCTTTTGGTAAAACTGCCTGCCTCCAACTTCTGGAGAAGGATTGCTCATCAGCAACCTTTTCTACGTGTGTTTGGCTTTGTAGGAAACTGACATGAAGTTTATAACCTGATGATTTTACCTATCTATCTATGTATTCTTACTCTGGACACTGCATCTTTTTTGGCCAGAATCGAGAAGATAGAAATAGGAGAGATTCTTCTGAAAACCCTCTGATTGTGTGTTTGGGACCAACCATTCTATTTTCAGTCTCGTGTCCTCTGTTGTGGTTTGTCTTGAATAAAATACCTGAACACATTTTCTGATTTATGGTGTGAGTGGGAATCAGAATATTTGAAACTCGGACCATCCAAAAAACTATGAAATGTAAAGTCACTATTTTAGGGCTTCCCTGGTGGCGCAGTGGTTGAGAGTCCACCTGCCGATGCAGGGGACGTGGGTTTGTGCCCCGGTCCGGGAGGATCCTACATGCCGCGGAGCGGCTGGGCCCGTGAGCCATGGCTCCTGAGCCTGTGCTCCGCAACGGGAGAGGCCATAACAGTAAGAAGCCCGTGTACCGCAAAAAAAAAAAAAAATAATAAAGTCACTATTTTAATACATCATTTGGAAATTCAGTAGCAAACCCTAGAACTGATGGCAGGATGGAAAGGAAGTTTTCTCATTTTCATATTAGCAGACTTTTGGTTCTTTTCCTAAGGGACATTACAAGCATCCTGCCGGTTCTTCCGGATTGGGAGTTAACTTGAACTGTGGGAGAGATTTCCAAGGCCCTGTGAGCTCTCAGCTCAAATCTCCTGTTTTCACAAGGCCTTTCTGTTCCCCAGGAAGGCAGAATTAATCCACGTGTGAGGAGCAATTCGCTAACAATCTCCATGGGTCTGGCAGGAGAAATGCCAGTCTATTTGCACTGCCTGGGACGGAGCTTAGGGCCCTGTAGCTCTGGGCCAGACACACAAGCCTGTGGGCTTCAGCACATAGTAACCACTCATGTTGTGCTGACGTCCAGGGCCCGCTTGCCACAGGTGGGTGGACCCAGAGGTGGAAGAGCTCAGACTCCCTGGTGCCATCCACGTCTCTGCTGCGCTTCCGTTAGTGGAGGCATTTCACCTCAGTGCCCATGACGAGCACCAGCCCCTTGGTGGGATTAAACCACCTGCTTATTTCCGTCTCCTCCTCAGCCCTGGAGATGGTATGCTTTGGCCTGCATCCTGTGTTTCCCAGAAATCCAGTGATCTTGGACCACCTTTAAATTGTGCCAAGAGGTGACCACAATTCTGCACCTAAGCCCTGGATTGTGGTTACAGCTGACATACCATGTGTGTTGCCATTTTTCTCCAATGTATTCTTTTTTTTTTTTTTGTGGTATGTGGGCCTCTCACTGTTGTGGCCTCTTCCCGTTGCGGAGCACAGGCTCCGGACGCGCAGGCTCAGCGGCCATGGCTCACAGGCCCAGCCGCTCCGCGGCACGTGGGATCTTCCCGGACCGGGGCACGAACCCGTGTCCCCTGCATCGGCAGGCGGACTCCCAACCACTGCGCCACCAGGGAAGCCCTCCAATGTATTCTTGACACGAGATTTTTTTCTCATGACAGTATTTGCTGACTTGATGTAACAGCCTCCTTTAAGTTTTTTTTTTGTTTGTTTTTGCGGTACGTGGGCCTCTCACTGTTGTGGCCTCTCCCATTGCGGAGCACAGGCTCCGGACGCGCAGGCTCAGCGGCCATGGCTCACGGGCCCAGCCGCTCCGTGGCATGTGGGATCTTCCCGGACCGGGGCACGAACCTGTGTCCCCTGCATCGGCAGGCAGACTCTCAACCACTGCGCCACCAGGGAAGCCCTCCTTTAAGTATTTTTTAGAGCAACTTTGAAGCATGGATGTTCAAACAAATTAATGGTCCCTTATTACCTAGCTCATGTATTGGGCAGGAACCATAAGTTCATATGCCAATACATAAGCCCATCTATGTGACTCCTCTTTTGCCAAAAAATTTATGATATGTAAACATGTATATGATCTTTGTGAAAATGCAAAACAAGAGATACAGAATGCCTGGCACCTGTATGTGTACACACACATATATGTACACATATACATATATAGAGAGAGCATCTATTAGGTGCCAGGCATTCTGTACATCTTGCCTTGAATTCTCACAACGATCCTATTAGATAGGGATTATTGTCACCATATTCTAGATGTGGCAGCTGAAACTGGGAGAGGTTAAAGTCATGTGTCAAAGAGAATATTGCTATTAAGTTATGGTGTCCAGACACATGCCCAAGCCCCGTGGATTCCAGAGCCCATGTCTGTTCAGTGCATTGTGTCCTCCCAGATGCCCTGTGTACAATGGACAGGTGTCTTCTCTCATTAGTGGGCATCCACAAGCTCTCATCTCTCCTTTCCCTGGCCTGTCACAGGAGCATCTGTTAACTGGTTCCTGGCATCCCATGTGACATATGGAGATAGGTATAGGTCATGTGAAGTCAGCCCAGCCCATGCCTTGGCCTGCAAAGCTGTCAGCAATGACGCTTTCTCTTACTGTCACCTGATGAGCTTCTAGCGATGGGAACAGATTTTTAACTGGCTGTGTGTTTTCCCTATTGGCAGAACTAGTGCTTCTCAAGCTAGCTGTGATAAAGGACCAGTTTTTCCCTTTCCCATCAGTTAATGACTGATACTTTAAAAAAATACAATAAAAATGTCATGGGGATTGCTGTAAAAGTTTCCAAATGCTTGCTCTCAAATTCCGTAATTATCTCATTGTGGGCTGGTGGAATAAACAGTTCATGGTCCAACACTGGTCTGTGGATGCATCTTGAATAGCACTTTACCATATAATTTAGAGGAGGCTTAGGCTTCAGAAGAAACGTACACTTTGTATAAGCCACAATTTAAAAAAAAATTAAATTTACAGTAATAGATAGTGTCTCTGTTTAGCATGCTAACTTATAATATGGTGTCTGCAACTTTTTAAAATTGTAAAAGTAATTCATACTTGAAACAAAAAGTCAAATAGAACGAAAATATCCAAACTTAAAATGTTCCCCTTACTTTCACTCCCACCCTCCAAACTACTATTATCAATTCTTTTTTTAAAATTAATTAATTTATTTATTTTGGCTGCGCTGTGTCTTACTTAGTTGTGGCACGGGAGATCTTTTAGTTGCGGCATGCGGACTTCTCAGCTGCGGCATGCATGCGGGATCTAGTTCCCCGACCAGGGAGTGAACCCGGGCCCCCTGCATTGGGAATGTGGAGTCTTACCCACTGGACCACCAGGGAAGTCCCTCAATTCTTAAATTGGAAGTTCATCTCATGTTCGAGGAGGAAGGGTGGATCAAGATTTATGAAGAGGGAAGGGATGGGCGAGGCATTTTCAAAATTTACCCAATTTTTTACTCTATCTTGATTTTTATTTCAAGGGGGAAAGTATGACTTCTGAGCATCGTACTTTATTACAACTTTATTACTTTATTACTCTGTATAGTTTCAAAGTCACATGACAGCTGTTTTTGGTTTCCAGTATTTTCTAACCCCGATTCTCTTTTGTTGCAGAGCCAGATCACATTAATGGACATACCCGTGTTTAAAGCCATCCAGCCGGAGGTCTGTACCTTGTTCTTTACACTGTGCTACTAATGCTGGGGCTGGGAGGGGAGGATTTAGTCGGCCACGTTAGACTGACTCAGTTTCCCGGTTTCTCTCTTGAAGTCTCTATAAACTCACATTATTGATTTAAGCCCCCATTAAAGAGAGCATCCAGGAGCTTTCCATTCTCAGAGGTGCTCACTCTTTGAGTCAGGTGTTTAGGTTCTCCAGAGGATGTCACTGCATTTGGCCCCCTCTGGCAGGGCTGTGGGCAGTCGGTGCCTACCGCCTTCACACCTGAGTCAGGCCTGGCCACACTGATTCCTTCGCCCAGACCACCTCTGCTGGAGATGCTCACTGTTGAGACAGAGATGGGAGAGAACATCTCCTAGAGAGCCTTCTTTCTGTTGATACCAAATTCTGGTGGTTGCCTTGTTTCTGATTTTGAAGCCAGTTGCCGCAGCAAAACACATTACAAATTCATGTTAAAAGCATACATATATTTTTAGAAACAGCATATTCAATAAAGAGAAAAAAAGTTGATTTTAGTCTTCGGAAAAAAATCCCTGGAAATGTTTAGCAGTTGATAACGAGGCTTTACAGTTATTTTAGACAGGGTTCTGGTTTTGTCATCAAGTAATAGAAATCCATTTCGAGTAGCTGAATAGGCAGAAGAAGAATTTGTTACAAGCATAAAGTGGCCACTTTCAGAACCTGTGGCATGGAGTTCAGGCAGCCTGAAGAGCTGAGCAGGACGCAAGCCCTCTCCCTGCTCCCTGCCTCTCCTCTGCTTTTCCCTCTCCTCTGCTTTCCCCTCTCCTCTCTCTCCTGCCCTCTGTCCTGTCTGCCCCTGTGGTCCAACCTGGCTTCCCCGAAGGGCCCATATTTACGTGGTGCCGTGGAAGCCGCCTTCCACACCTGAACCAGCAAATCTTAGTTCAGCCCCGCTGAGTCCCGTGTCTGGTGCTGGTTCAGAGACTCAGGTCAGGAGTAGGTGGCCAAGATGAGCGAGAACAGCTGAGAGGACCCAGCCTTGTGAGTGGGGTGCAGATTTCAGAGAAGAGGGGTGTGGGTGGTGGATATGTCTAAACTGTGGTGTGAATTCCAGAGCACCACTCTTAACATGATGCCCTTCTTCTTACAGACTTTGAGAAGAACAGCATATTGTTAATACAAAGCCAGACAAGGATCCAGGCCTTCCTAGGGCTGGCATCCAACCCACTACAAATCAGGGGGAAACTAATATTGCTAGCTGCACTCAGCATGTGTGTGAAGACGTGGCAGTGATTTGTATTTCGGGGTGTGTGTGTGTGTGTGTGTGTGTGTGTGTGTGTGTTGTATTCATTAGGTTTTGGGGGCAGAACTATGTTTGCTTTTTTGAACTGGCTGACTTCAGTCTTTTTCTATTTTCTTCTAATGTGGGATTACACATTCTTTCTAATTAAAAACAAAAACAAAAACAGAAAACAGCCCAACACACTACATCTTGGAGCCTCTTGGGGATGTAGTTGTGTGATGGTTGCCTTAGTTCTCAGCTGAACCTAGCTCTGCTCATGTTCTCTGCTTATCTTTGATCTGGAGCAGTTTAGACGCTTGGATCTTTATTCTTTGTCCTGAGCATCAAGGAGGACAGCCCAGCCTGCTGTGAGCCCAGGGAGGCTGGGGTGGCTGTTCGGGCTGACTGCAGGAGGGAAGGGATGGAGAATTCTTCAGAGGCACAAGGAGGGGCAGACCGAGACTTTTCCCAGGGCACTGCAGTTCTGAAGGTGCCTCTTCCAGGGCACATCTCGTTTCAAGTTGTCACAAGACATTAAGGTGGAGATGTTTTGCTTTCAAGACCAGCTTGGAGCTGTGGTTCTCAATCGTGGCTGCACATCAGAATCACCTGGGCAGCCTTGGAGACACGGGGTGCCTGGACTCCACCCTAGACCATGGAATCTGAGTCTCTGGGTTAGAGTCTAGAACACAGTCAGCTGTGTTTTGTATAGAAGTTTACCAGGTGATTCTGCTGCAGAGTGAGGATTAAGAATGAACTGCTTTGAGGTATCTGGAGAGACCCTAAACTTTTATGTCTTAGATCTATGATATGTTAGCTAAAGACGGAAGAGTTTATTACTCATTGTCATTGTCAAAAGTGTGCTTAAAAGGAGCACACTGGGAGCTGTCCCAGCTTTTCTGCTCTTGTTATTGCTGTTAGCAGACTGAAAACTGCAACTTTTCCCCTTGATGATGTCTGCCACGTTATGGCTGGACCACCCCCGCGTCGGAAGCACACGTATAAGGGACACTTGTGCGTTTGATGTAGACGAGACTTTCCAGGAAGCAGAGGCATGTGAGAGCAAGATGGGCATTGTGAGCGGTCTGGACTCCCAGAAGATCAGGAAACCTGTGCCTTTCAGCCCTGGCTGTGCATCAGAATCACTTGAGGAGTTCCGTAAAAAAAAAAAATCCAGATGCCTAGGCTTTATCCTTGGAGATTCTGATACCATAGGGTTAGAGTGGGGCTGGGAATCCATTTCAGTCAGTTGTAGTCACTATTCTTTTTGTTGCATAAATTATCCTGCCTCTAACCAATGGGAGCCCTTTCATGTCATCTCCTATATCCTTTTATTATAATGATCCCATTATTTTTTGATAGCTTCCTTGCTCTTCGATACAACAAGGTATGCTAATTTCCTGCTGAAGACCTGGAATCAGGC